CCTATAGAATGGAGGTCTTTCATTAATCCTTTGTGGAGGCCTCTCCAATATTCCAACAGGAATATATCTAATTAAAATTGAAATTTAGTATTAAAATAAAACTCCAATTATACTTTACAACTTAAAACTTACCTATGCAAGAAAGATATCCATTCTAACATAAACCTCCTAGTTGTTTCAACCCCTCGAGTGTCTGAACCCCAGTGTTCAAGACCATAATTGGCATACTTTTTCAAAATTTCAAATCTTTCTCCACTTGATATATCTATTAATTTTCCTTCCTTTATCTCAGTAAATATCCATGGTTTTATCAAAGCACCACGGCCTACTGTAACACCATGCACAGAAGTGTATAAATTTCGAACCCTTTGATAATCATCAAAGGACAAAATATCACCATTTCCAAATACTGGTACAGGATGTGCTGCTTTTGCACATTTTTCTATGTATTCCCAATCAGCTAATTTAGTATACCTCTGTTCACGAGATCTTCCATGAACCTACATTGATATATAATTAATAGTTCGTATGTTTTAACATATTTTTTCATGATTTTACAATAACTTAAAAATACAATTAACTTACTCACAGTAATCATGGATACACCCCAATCGCCGAATTTTGGCATTAAAGTATGCGCAACAGGTTTATCTATGTAAACACCCATCCTAGTTTTTACAGTTAAAGGTATATCCATAACTTGACTAACAGATTTTACAACAGTTTCTAAGACATTCAATCGATTCAGCATACCACTGCCACCACCTTGTCTATAAATTAAATCTATGGGACAACCCAGGTTCAAGTCAATGAAATCAATGTTAATTTTTTCATTAAGTAATTGTGCACATCTTGTTAGTACACCTGGATTGTTACCACAGAGCTGTACACCAAAGATGTCTTCAGATTCGTGTCTTTTCACCAGTGCCCACTCTTCATGGGCCCCCTTTAATATCCTTGGTGCTAGAGCCATCTCTCCACATGTTAAGTCAGCTCCATATTCTTTGCAAATCCTCCTAAATGGCAAATTACCCACTGTTGTCAATGGACTTAATAAAATCTTATTTTTCCAGTCTATTCTCTTTTTTTCTGAACTCCTACATTTGATTAAATCATAATCATCCACTGGTCCAATTTTCTGCTTTACATTTAAACTCTCAGAAACCTCAGTTTTAGACTCAGTAACAGAAGAGTCCACAGTTGAACCATTTTTCACTTGTAATTTATCTTCATTCATGGACTGTTCAGTTCTTTTAGTATTTTCAATTACTGATTTTTTTCTAGATGGTTCATTCAATTTAACAACTTTTTCTGCCTTAGAGAAATTATACTTGTGCTTCCTTAGTTGAGTCTGAATGTCTTTTGTCAAATAATTCTTCATGGAAGGTGGCCTCTTTTGAAATTCCTCCACTTTTTCTTTATCAATAATGTTTAAACCATCTGCTGTTAAATGTTTAGAGCCCATTCTGCAGGCAGTACCCCTTGGGCACCTGCCAATGAGATTAAAAAGATAACATTCATCTATAATGTCATCTGGTTTGATTTTCAAATATTCAATTCTATCATGCAAAAAAGTGCATCTTTTGTTATCACATTTTTTTTCAGGCTCTCCCACTGTTTGATCCGCAATCCAAGGACATAGGTTTTGTTCACGCTGTGTCTTAAATGGTGGTGGCCTTGCTTTATTCTGTCCTCTAAGCTTTTCCTTCTTATCATCATTTTTAAACTTTTTGGATGGTGGTTCATCCACAGAAGAAGCCTCTTCATTTAAGTTAGTTGGATTAGTTGAAACTTTTTGTTTATCAGTTTCTGTTAAACATTTTTCGCTTAGAAGCCTTACATGATCTCCTATGATATACCTGCAATAATTTCAAATTTACAGTAAAATTAAAATATTTTTTTTAATTATTGAAGAAATAAATAGTTTGTGTACATATAATAACATTTACTTACTCTTCTTTGATTAGACAGACGCCTTTTTGTTTACCCTCACTATAATCGAATGAACAATCTTCCACACATTTTTCACTGCAATCCGCCATTTCAAACAAATCGATGCATCAAATCGCAAGAGGTCAATAGTTATCGAAGTGAAATCTCGATAAATCCTGTGGCAATTCGCAAAACAGTGAAAGCGGGTTTTGTTAATCCTGCCATCATGGAAATACCTCAATTGTAATATATGGATTCCAACCAATTTATCAATAAATTTCTGTTATTTATTTCAAGTCGTATTACGAATGTCTCTACTATCAGTTATTAAGCAATTTCCAAAGTGAATTCACATTTTTAAACGATTAGATAAAGTGCTGCGATTGTTAATTAGTCGTACGTTATTAATCATTTGTCTGGAAATAATCTATAATATGTTTAAAAATGTTTTATTTTCAGTCAAAAGTACTAAGAGATAATAAATTGCGTTCGATAACTGATAGTATCTAAATATATAGTACATTTAAAAAATTTCTTACAACACGCAAAGATAAATTACACATACAGATAAACTTATTGATATTTTTAAGGCATTGAATTTATTGAGTTTTGTATTTAATTAGTTAGTATCATTCAAGGTAAATGATTTTTAGAAATACAATATTGATTCCACATTACATAATTTTTGCATAACATTAATATATGTATAATCATCTTATCGTGTGATAAAGTAACCCAAGGAAGATATTGAGAACATAAATTCTAATTACCGGTTGCGATGGTTATGCAACAGATAATAAAATAACTAACTATGTTAAACAAATGCACTTATTTCGATCAAAATTGACCATTTAAATTCTTTTTACCTTTGCCTTGGTTACGTGAGCATGGTAATTCAAAAGTGGCACGCAGTGATTCTCAACACACCACTTTTGAATCGTCTTGATATTAATTCTATTGCTTAACAAAAAATTGAACGTATAGTTTCGCTATTAATAAAAAAAAAAAATAACGTACATATATCGTTAATTATCACTATTAAATATCGACATTCAGTTTTTCTCACGATACTTACAGACTCCTCGACAAATCTTTAACCTAAGACACTGTGTAAACATCAGGAATCTGATTAACGAAGGCAAAATGGTTCTCGTGATTCCCTAATCATGAATCGAAATTTTCCAAAAAGAATTCTCATAAAATCCCGCGAGTATGATTTCCAAATCATTCTTATAAGAGTTTCAAATTATAAAATATTAAAATACCATGAAAGTATTAATTAAAATACCATGATTGACACACGTGTTAGCTTGATCGTTGCTTGCGCTTGCTTACCCTCTCCCCACGTGTCCTCGTGCTCGATGTTTTCTTACAAGAAATACACGGTTTGTTGAAAGCCATTAAAGACGTTTAGGAAGGGTCAAAGCTACGACGATGGATCGTATTCAACCATTATACCATTTGAATCGGTGAACAACGTCGCAACGCTCCCGGTAAGTTTGCAACGTGTTCGATGACGCCGTGGATCATTGTTGACAAGACCAGTCCCTCATAAATAATTATTTCAGATTGACTTTAGTGACTTTTTCCTCATAATTCACTTAAATATCACTCAATAATTCACTCAATAATCGCGAGATTTAACGCGGTTGATAAGGCGTAACGATGGTAACTTAAACGATCGAATATACGGTCCCGATTTACTGTATCGAATGTTGGGAAATGAGTCTGCAATAAAAGTCATTGTACCATATTGTATACAATTATGCCACGGTACATAAATCGTATGCATTTTTCATTCAATAGTTGAGAAAAAATGGTTTTTTGATCCCTGTATTCATTGTTGTATTCGAATGATTTTATCAGTGTTACAGATTGATTGATTCTCTTCATTTATATGTAGATAATATGAATTTTTTTATATCACTGTTAATTATAAGGTCTGAAAGCAATCTATTCACTAGTAATGTTTTTAGTAAATAACATTAGCAAATATTGCTTCATGTATACCATAAAGATAGGAGGCTCAATAAAGGAGATTTAACAGATTAGCTCAGTACATCTTTGTTAACTTGAAGTTCACAATACTAGAACATCTTTCAAGTATACTTTGAGTACTTTAATGGAAGTAGCATTGAAGTATTAGGTGACATATCTGTAAGGATATTTATAATTAACAAATTGTTTCTGTTTTGTATTAATAGAACAATAGTATGGAAGAAATAGGTATATTACAATGGGAGGATTATCTGGTTATAGCAGCTACACTATGTATCAGCATAGGTATAGGTATCTACTATAGATTCAGTGGTGGGCGTCAAAAGACGGTGGAGGTATGTATACAATTCTTAAAAAAGAAAAACAGGAAATTTATCTTAAGTTTAACAGATTTTATTTTTAACAGGAATATTTCATTGCCAGCAGATCCATGAGCATTGCACCTGTAGGTGTTGCACTTGTAGTATCTTTCATGTCTGCTATTACACTGTTAGGAGTTTCTGCAGAAAATTACACATATGGAACACAGTTTGTAGTAATTAATTTGTCGTACCTCATAGGTACTCCCCTTGTTTGTTATGGATATTTACCAGTATTTTTTAAACTTCAAGCAACAAGTGCTTATGAGGTTGGTATATTAAATTTGATTAAGATAGTGACATAAAACCATGTATCTAATTTTCACTTCTCTTCTTTTAGTACTTAGAGAAACGTTTTGGTGTAAGAGCCAGGATGATGGCTAGTTTTGTATATTGGCTACAGCTACTTTTGTATTCAGGTGTTGTACTTTATGCTCCTGCCTTAGCACTGGAAGCAACAACAGGGATCTCTAAAACTGGCAGTATTATTATCATTGGGCTTGTTTGTGCCTTTTATTCTAGCATAGGAGGCATTAAAGCTGTCCTGATAACAGATGTATTCCAAGGGCTGCTTATGTTCGTTTCCGTTTTTATTATTATCGTTATAGCTGCCAATGAAGCTGGAAGTTTAGAAGAAATATGGCACATAGCAGAGGAAGGAGATCGAATTCAATTTGATAGGTTAGGTGTAAAAATCATGTGTAAAAATGAATTTCAATTTGGAAGAATTAACTGTAAAGTACTTTTGTATTTCTACAGCATTTCTCCAGATCCCACTGTACGACACACTTGGTGGTCACTCATTATAGGAGGTTTATGTACATACCTTTCACTGTATGGTGTAAATCAAGTTCAAGTTCAGCGTTTGCTAACTGTAAAGTAAGTTTTATAACATACAGAGAAAAATGTGTTATTAATTTATATAATATTTTTAGAGATATAAAAGCGTCGCAGAAAGCACTCTGGTTGGCATGGCCGATTTTATCAATACTTTCAGTGACGACGTGTTTTTCAGGATTAGCAATATATAGCAAATACTATAAATGTGATCCGTTGCTTCGGAAAAGAATAACGTCCTCCGATATGCTCATGCCATTATATGTTATGGACACCATGTCTGACAAGCCTGGTCTACCTGGTCTTTTTATAGCAGGTAGTGATAGTAACTGATTTAAGGTGGATTTTATACACATGATTGTAACACGTGAGATCTTATTTTCATGTTTCTTGCTTAGGCATTTTTAGTGCTGGCCTCAGCACTATTTCAGCAGCTTTGAATTCTTTAGCGGCGGTAACGTTAGAGGACTATATGAAACCTGCTTATAAGAAATGCCTTGGTAGGGAATTCTCTCTGTCGGTTTCGGCAACTCTTGTCAAATTGCTTGCTTTTATCTATGGAGTGCTCTGCATTGCTCTTGCGTTTTTGGCGCAATTTTTGGGTGGCGTTTTGCAGGTACCTTCTTTACCGATTGTAAAATAGAAAATATTTTTGTCATCTTAATCAAGTGAATTTTATTTGCGACGTTTGCAGGCTGGTTTGACAATATTTGGTGTAGTGGGTGGCCCACTCCTGGGCTTATTTACCCTTGGAATGCTCACAGAAACTGCCACAGAAACTGGATCAGTAATTGGTGCTCTTATATCTTTAGTCATTTTATTCTGGATTGCCTTTGGACAACCCAGACCTAGTCCACCAATGCTACCAATGACTGACAGTGGCTGTCCAAACGCAACCATTTCTATTTTGCAAACACAATTCACACAGTAAGTATCAAACCTTAAAATAATTGATAAAATGATTTTCCAGGAATGTAAAATGAATTTCTTTTCACTTTAGGAGAGCAGATGACTCATCTTACTTTTATTTATATCGGATCTCCTACATGTGGTACAGTCCACTGGGATTCGTGTTGACGTTTGTGATAGGATTGTTGCTTAGCTACTGTTTCAAGCAGATATTCCAAGAAGAAAAGGTTGAGCTGGATGTTAATCTATATTTTCCTATAGTAGGTGAACGTATACGTCGTAGACGCGAGCAAACTACAGAGATTAATGAGAACGAGGTGCCAAAGGACGCGGCAGCACATAGGAAGTACGTTTTCACGATTAACGATGCAGAGGCCACGGAGGAGACTCACACTACCAAAGTTTAACGCGCTTTCTGTTAATCAGTGGCATTTTATATATTAGGCATTCCGTATGATATCATGTTGTAAGTCTAAGTGCCTGGATAGGACACAAAATTTGTAAAGAATTTGGTCTTTTTTCTCGGAAAAAGTAGCATGTCCAAGAAAACATAGGAGAAGATTGAATTGTCGTTAATATGTATATTAATAATTTTAATTCTTTCCTTTGTTATTTTGTTATGTGTTGATAAAATGTAAAAAAATTAAAAACATGTAATTTATAGTTATTCTTTGTTGTTACAGTAATTTTGAAACATTTTTAATGTTTAAACAGTTCATCTGAAACCTAAAATATTTGGACATGTTAGCTTCAAGCATTGTCACTATATTATAAGTGCTTATAACTTAATTGCGTTACTTATTACTTGGTGTCAAAAGAATATTTTAGTTGTTAGGCGAATGTCTTCCATCTCTGCCATTTTTCAAAACTGCCATTTTATATTTCGTCTACGATTAATTAGAATACTTTGAAAGTACGGAAGCAACTCTGCACAAATTTGTTTCCTTTACATATCAATGGTAACAAGGTAATGGAATATGAGTTTTTATGATACTACAAAAAAGAAGATTTACTTAGATTTGTTTTTAATCATTCTCAAATGTCACAAATATTGTACAAACTGCATTGTGAAATTATATTTTATAAACATAGCTATAGTTTCTTTTTAAATACTGCAGACTACTATTGCACACTGACGATACTCTTAACAGAAAAAAAGATATGCATTGTTACGGATCGCAATATGGCTGTCGCGAAACCGATCGTTGTCCCCCTGCTTGAGCCAAACCAATCAAGGAATTTACTTGGGATACGGGACTTAGGTAGTGCACGGGAACTTTGAGAAATAATGCACCCAAAGAATTAATTATTTTAATATTGTGTGTATTTTATTAAAATGTGACTGTGCCAGAATGTAATGGTGTTCACTGTTCGAAAGTTGACGTGTATCTGCTTCTGTCGCTGGAAAAACTGTTTTTCGATTAGTGGTACTATTTTCCTATTAATATAACAGTGTATGTGGAGATGGATGTATGTTTTCGTTATTGGTGTAGATGTTTGACTATGGGTGTGGTTTGTGAGGTGGTGGTGTAGTTTTGAGTTATAAATTCTTGATGTTGATGTTAAAAGATAATGATCCCTTGTTGCGCTAAAAGATTTACCGATACCAGAGCGATGTCTGTTATGCATATGATAGCATATATTTTTAACATATTTGTCACGAAACAGTGTGCGTTCTGTGAATCAGCTATAGAGAAAATAATTATAGTCAGTAGAACAGGTACACAATTCAGTGCATCGCATCTTGTGATAGTGTATAGTATTTTATGAAGTACTAATGTAGCAAGAATGTATTAATTTTCTTATTTACAGCATTTGTTAGTCAATTTGTGTGATAAACGCAATAGTTACTTATACTTATCTCCTTGCGTTGTTTTGTTCCTTTTTTTTGGAAGGCCTGTATCAGTCATATAATATAACAGAACATATATGATGTAACATGGATTAATAAAAAGAATATGTGTGTGAAAGAAAACGACGTCGAGAATACCAGCAATTATTTTCAGTCTCTCTAGCTTATCTCGTGTAATTACAATTAAACGTACGACTATCGAGTGGTATGAATGAGAATTTATAATTACAGATGGCAGAGTGATTAAAGATAGCTAAAGCTTGTGGTTTTTGATAAGATAAAATTTTTGTCAATTGTCTCATCTACAATTTCTTTAGGTATTTAATTCAATAAATTATATAAGTGCTAATTTTTAGAAATGAAAAACTAATTGGACATTTTTGTTTCATTTTTGGAAATTTTCAGGAATTCTGAGGAATTTTTTGTGACAAGGAAATTGGAAGAAATTTGTTACCGCATAAAGTGACTTGAAAAGAAATTCACAGAGGAAAGAGGACAGTCCAAGGTGCTTTATGAGGAGCTTCTCAACAAGAGCCCAGATGAAACTACCAGTGGTCAGTTGAAACCAGTTTCAATTTATCTGTGGCTCACGCTTCGATCGCCACTGGGCTCTTTTTAATTATTTTTCAAGCGAAACTGCGGCGATCATTTTCCAAGTTGGCTCCTTTAACGGGCAATTAATCCATCAAGAAATCCATCTGACATTATTCTGTAACTAGGTGTCGAATGTCTTCCTGGTCTATGCCCTCTAGAAGACTCTGTACAACTAATTAAATTGTGCCTTTGATACACAAGTTCCCCTGTGAACACAAAGTTTCTCATAAATATGCATAGACTTTGTTTGAGAATTGTATTGCAATAAACAATTTGCACACGTTATGAAGGAATGTATATTTTGGGATTTTAAATACCTAATGGTGTCTCAACAATTTTTTGAACCAATATGGTTCCAATAAATAAAAAAAATTGCTTAGTATTCTGATGGCTTTAATAAAAAAAAATCTCTTCACTTTATGATTAAATAAATTGCAAATTTTTACTAGTTTCTCAGTGTATTATATTCACCTTTACAATGCTAGCTTATGTTTATTTTGTTGTGACTCTTTCTCTCTCTCTCTCTGTCCCTCTCTCTTTTGTCTCCTTCTCTTCCTCATGGATTTTATGTATACAGGAGTCCCCTGTTCAACTTTGAAGTCAGCGGTTTCTTTACCTCGAATTTGCACCACTATGCTAGCAAAATTAAAGAAAAGAAACAGATGAAAATGTGAAAAATTGTCGATCAGGCATTCTGAAAATTAAAAATTTGAATTAATTTAGACCAAGGTGAAAGTAGAGACCAATGATAGTATTCAAAAAGAAGTTTTTCTAAAGTGTGTGTGTGTAAGTGGTATATGGAATTTATGAGATACTTGAATGCAAAATTGAGGTGTTATTTTACTGTTTTTGAAAGAAAAAATTTATTTGACGAAAAGGTGAGTAGTAATATTTTTGCGAAGAAGACTATTAATACAGTTTTAAAATTTAGAATATGACTTCATCTGTATACAGTTTTAATATCTTCAAAATTCAATTTTAAACATTTTTTGCATAATTATTATAATGGTAGAGAGCTGTTTTAAAAAAAAATCCTTTCCCATCAGGTGATTCTTAATTTGCAACTTGTCTTTTTCATTTAGGTGCGTGTATTCATTCATCAACGAACGGTACAACTGGTTTAACCCATCGTGAGTCACACTATTCCTAATAGAATTAACATAATCAGTAGAGGAAGAGAATTTCATTGAATCATGTTGTCACAAATTATCTCGCGTGATCCAGGCCCTCCCCACTTCTTTAGCATCACTCCCACAGTTTTCATATATGTGCAGGTGTATGTGCCACATTATAGCCTTATCAAATATACAATTTAATTTTATCTACAACAGATGATAATTGAAAGTTAATCACAAAAAGAAATTCTAAATTTTTCAAAAATTTGTCAGAATAGTTCATAAAAATAGTCCATGATTCCCTAGAGCTATATGTTTCCTTAATACCTTTATGGTGTCCACTACCAAGGTCAATTAACTGATGAGGTTCTTCATGGATCTTCTCTATGCTTAGGCAATTGTTTTTCTTTAAAAATAACATTAGAAACCCATATGTAACCCTACAATAAGGAAATTTCCTTCAACCAATTCAATGAAACTTCTTCATTGCTATGCTGAAGTCACATATTAAAGTTTTATAAACTGTGTACATTTTAATCTCTTTAATGGCTATGTTGAGTCTAAGAAATGCAATAAAATGATGGACTCATTGAGGAAAACCCATAACTTTTATGTTCATAAATTCAATAAATAAAATACTTGGTATTCAGTCCAAAAGGTTACCAGATATTTATTATTGAATTATGTGTTTGGAAAACTTATTTAATGAGTAGGAATGTGAAAAATGCTCTAAATAATGGTGTAAGAGTGGTAGAACTTTGATGAACATCGTTTGTTCACAACCCTGTATATAGAAACCGGTTGGAACCTGTTCCGACTGACTGTGAACACGGTTTTCATGTATACTCCGGTTCGTGGTCGATTTTTCATGTTCCAATCTTCCGCTAATAGCGCGAGGAGTGTTAGTTTATCAGCCCCCTTTATCGCGAATACCATTCGGCCGCGAGTTTGTTCGTGCCACTGTTCCTGGGGTCTCCCGGTATTCTTCGAAAAATGTCTTCGAGTAGAAGTTGATTTATGTGGGTTCTGATGCAAGAAATAATGGAAAATGTAAGCTGAAGAAAAAAAAGTAAAAATAATTATTTTAATAATCTTCAGTGTGATTTTATTAATTAGAACTTTCTTTGTTTCTTCTTGAACTCTGTTTATGGTCACATCTCTTCGTTTCTTCTATCTGACACTTTCATCTTTATATTTTGCTTGTATACTGTTTTTCTCACTCCCTGCACCTATCCTAATTAAGAATTCTTAGTTAATGTGAATTGCGACAGTCATCTTTATCGTCGGATTGCGTCAAAGAAGAAACATCAATTACCTGTGATGTAATTTTCGTTATGCCTATGATAAATTCATTTGCATTGTGACTTTTCAATAAATAGAGGAATCTTGTGCGTTTCTGTACTGCTTACAACAGTTTGAAGAACTGATTTTACAAGATTTCAGGCTTTCTTAAAAAGGAGACCCAAAAATGTTCAATAATTATGTTACCAACTTCCAAACATCTTAAATTATTTTATCTTTCAATATTATTAATTATTTTATGTTTCATTTCTAGTTAAATAAGGAGTCTCATTGAGAATTTACCAAGGTTATAGTGTCCTTCAAAAACAAAAATTGAAAGCTCATGAAAGTGACCTCTGAAGTTAATTTCACTACTCCAAGCATTTCAAAGAATCTTATGTCGTTATTTCTCCTTCTTAAATACTAAAAGTTTCATTTCTCAATTCTAATTCCAATGCATAATCTATTAAACCAAACAAATAAGTCTTAATGAACTTCTTCAATATTAATTTCTTCTTCTTAAATGCTAGGGTGTTTCTAACTCAATTATTCTTTGCCGTAACCTTTAACATTTTTCAATGAATTTTGTTTCTCAATTTTAATCCAAATACATCATCAGTTTAACCAAACAATTATGCTTTAATTAATTTCCTCGACAAATTCAAGAATTTCTCATTTCTACCTCATGAGTGTTACAATTCTTTAGAAGCCAGGGTGCCGCACGTAATCTTCTTAGTGCGTCTAATTATCCACCGTGTTTCCATAAGTCCGCGGAATGGAAGAAACTCGCTGCTCTGGAAGGGGATGCTTCGTATAAATAGGCACATATGACAATTAAAACGACAGTCTGAAATCGTTCTTCGCTTAATCCGCCGGCTCCGTTCGAAACAAGGGACGCGTGAAACCGAGAGTCCTAATTAATTAGTTGGCTGTTCCAACTCCGGCGCCCATCAGAGACACACTGAAGAGAGTGGCTCGATTCAGAGGCTGCTGAAAAATCCAAGCATATATGCGTTACGTCAAGAAGACCAACAGCAAAATCATTCAGCTGCAGTTTCGTACCTTTTTACCAACTATAAGACACTATTAACATCTTCTAGGACTTCTTTTCCATTTTCCTTCTTGTTTTTCTTGCTTCTCTTCCTTGGTAGAGAGAGATCAGATTCTTTTTACCAATTATTGGATACCATTTGCACCTTCTAGGATAACTTTCCCACTATTCTTCCTGTTCTTCTTCTTTTCTTCTTCCTCTTCCTTGGTACATAGGGACTGGACCTATTTTACCAACTATAGTACATTATTAGCACCTTCTAAGACCACTTTTTCATTATTCCTCCTGTTCTTCTGTTCTTAATCCTCCTCTTTGGTACAAAGAAACTGGACTGCCATTGACTGGCCAGAAATTGGTGCTTCAAGAGGTAAGTCCTTAATCTTGAAGATTTTTCAGTACTTGGGGTATAGTTTCTCTTTGGAAAGATTACACTTTTTAAGGAAAATGCTTTGAGATTATTATATATAAGATCATAGAATAAGATCTGGAGGTGGTTGCTGATTTTAAGACTTTTATAAAGAGCTTCTAAAGTTATATCTCTATTGAAGAAATAAGCTCTTAATTTTATGATTTTGCAGAGTCTTGTGTATAAGTATTTAAGTAGTTGTTACAATGTTTCTCCTTGAAAATACCAATTTTTTTTTTTAGAAGAGATTTGTTACAATATCTTCTCTTGGAGAGACCAAATTTTCTTAGAAAGTACTCCTTTAAGCTTGCTAAAGGAAAGTGTTTGTACCAGTGTTTTCACTGAAGAGCATTGAAAGAGAATCCTTTTAATTTAACTGGAACCACAAGGACTCTGAAAGTTTAATGTCCTGAAGTAAAGCAGTAGCATTATTCTGAAAGGATATTCAGTTTTGTAAAAGAACATCCTGTATATATAATACAAATCAGATAAATAACTCTGTATTACTTCATTCATTCATTCACCTGTCCTATAATAAGCAATTATATTCACGGATCCCTGATCTGCATTGCAATTATGCGACGTAGACAGTGTTCTGCCTGTCAAATTCCAAGTGCGTAACAATCATAATTCGAGTATTGTTTTCTATTCAATCCTGATGACAATCCCACATGTCTATGCTTTTGTATTAACCTGTTACGTCGTAGTGTCCCTATTGGGGCGCGCTTATGGTTCTCTTAATTAGCTAGACAATTCTTTCATTTTGAAAAATCATTTTCCAGCATATATACACGTTAACTTTTCATCTTGAATGTCACATTATAATTTCTTTTTCCTACAAATTGATAAAAATCATTTTTATTATTTCGAGATATTTATTATTACACGTGGCAGAGGAAGAAGAAATAGGAAATCTGGTATAAGATATTTGTTAGAGAAGTGTCTAATGGGTAAAATTAGCATTTTTGTCAGGTTTCCACCACCAGCTTCTTCTAATATAAAGATTTGATTTGACGAAACCGGTTTCAACCAGAAGCAACCAGACCTAATGACAACGAAGTATCATTGATATGGATAATAAAAATGTTTACCAAATTCATTGATGCCGGATGCCTTTGCATCAAGTAAAAAGTTCTTTGAATCTAGAAGTTATGTTGCAACATCTTAATTTGAATTTCCAGCTGATTGCTTCTTCTCTCGTAGGAAACCTGAAAAAATTCACAATTGTCAATTGAAAAATTCAAGCTAATCTTCAAACTTTCAATTTTTTTTTATTAAAATATTCAATTTTTTCATTGAATCAATTTGAATCACTTTTCGGAGAAAAGTTGAGAAACTCCTCAGATAGTATTTCATAATGGCAGAAAACTAGTCAGACAAGTTGATATGCATAGAATTTGTGTTAATTTCAATACATCTCGGGAGGAGGTCTCCCTTATCTTGTTAGATCTTTCACGCCAGTTTACACAAACTGTATCCTTGTTCGCCTTTGAATTAACTAGTTCTAGCCAGAAACAACCAGATTTCTTAATGATGATCGAACGTCAGTGTTAATAGCCACAACGACGGTGCAAATCCTTCTAAACAATTACACCCAATGGCGGGGCAAGATACGCTTAATAATCGCATCACCACAGAGCCAGCGGCTGAGCATAGTGCATTACACTTTGATTATGTAAGAAAGAAACAGTGAACTAATGCGTCTATGTGAACATACTGAAAAGATTAACTGGCACAACCATGATGGTTTTAGTATGTTTGGATACAATGGTGTGTCACAATGTATTTTTAGACTTTTGAAAAGTTGTATTAACCCTTTGAAACATGAGTAATTTGTCCTTGACTTTCATTTAGGAGTCAATAACTTGCAAAAGAAGAAAAAAAACCGCTGTGCTTAGTTATATAGTTGTATACAGATTAATTAAAAATTTAAAGGGTCAAAAGTGTGAGTGAGCTCCAGTGCTCGTTCAGGCACCTAAGGGTTGAAAAAAAAGCTATATTTTATATATTTTAATACTATGTTATTGTACAAGGAATAATACTCTTCTAGAATAAGAATTTATACCAGGATATACTGGTCTTGTGAAATTAGATTTCATTAAAATATTAAGTCCTCGATAATTCAATTACAGATAAGAAAATAGAATGTTAATTTTATAAGAAATGGAAAGTCAATAATTCAGCAAGCAAAATAAATCGATGATTTTTTCCTCAAACATTTGATATCATAAGGTAAAAATACATCACTGATGAATTTCGATATCGATGTCATGTAAAATCAAGCAGAAGATGATACAGAAGTTATGTAAAGTGAAACTAAAACCGAAACGCGTAATAGGGATCAATATGGATCATATCGAAGTGTCGATCAGATGTGTGCCTTTCACGTGATTCTAGATGTATAGGGGGATAGTTGATGGAATACCGACTAACGGTGCTCAAGGCCACTGAATGCCAAGTACAATGAAGTTCTACTCAATTACACTGACCATGATACTTCCTGCATCTTTACTATTGATACCTATCTATCGTTTTTTGATAATCCTCAAGCTTTTAAAGCAGTTTTAAAACTTTTTACGACTATAAAAACTTCCATAAAAATTTTCTTCCGGACTAATAAATATATAAAAACATACAATTTTACGGCTAAAAAAAGAAACTAAAAGAGGAAATATATTAAGATGTACAATTTTCAGACGAAAGAAAACTAAAAGAAGAAATGTATAAAAGTATAACGAGCTTGCCAAATATGTTGAAAAATAAAAAGAAGAGATATGAGATGATTTTTCATTTCTCCGGGAAGAAAATTAGCAAGAAGTATTTATGGGACAATTTTGTCATTTCTGTTCAAGTTTTTGAAAAATGAGGTTGCACCTTCCACTGCTGTTCTTCTTTTTGGCCGTTTCTTCGGCGGAACAGCGGCCATCCGAATATGTGGACGAAAAATGCATGGAGAAACATCCTGTACTCCTGCATTACTTCTCGTGGGCTGACTACACGGTGCTGGCTACAATGTTGGTTATTTCATGCCTGATCGGCACATTCTACGGTTTCTTCGCCAAGAAACAGGAAACCAGCCAGGACTTCCTGCTCGGTGGCTCAAGCATGGGAACATTCCCCATGGCGATGTCACTGGCTGCTAGTTTTATCACCGCCATCGAGCTTTTGGGCAATCCTGCGGAGATGTACGAACAGGTATGTATCTCTTCTGAGTGTATCTCATAAACTATTGAAGTATTTTGAGTGACTTTTTAATTAATATATTGCTTATAACAATTGGAAGACCACCAGAGTGTGTAGAAGAAGAAACGACAGTCGTTTCGACTTGATGATTTAACGTATACAAATTTTGACTATTTCTTTCTTTTGTTTTTTAGGATATTTCTATTTCTTCCCTCCATTTTACAGTATTTTATTTCTTCTTCATCCTTTCTGCATTTTTCCATTTCTTCTTTCATTTTTTAGTAGTTATTTATTAATATTTATGTATAATATACATGTAATATATGTGTAATAACATTTATGTATATTTCTTCCTTTCCTTCTTTGATATTATTCATTTTTAATAACTTTTAAATCTTTCTTAATTATTCTGAGTGATATCTCCATTTTAAAGTTCTCATTTTATCAAAGTATAGTTATCTAAATTGGAAGATTTTTTGACAAATTCGTAGGGTACACAGTTTTGGATGACCTGTCTGGCTTTTATTCTCGTCGTGCCTATTACCTCGTGCCTGTACCTGCCTGTTTATATGAAGCTCAGGTTGACCTCAAGCTACGAGTATCTGAATCTTCGTTTCAATCGCCACTGCAGACTGCTCGCCGGCGGGCTCTACATGCTACAAATGATTCTGTACACATCCGTAGCTGTGTACGCACCGGCGTTAGCTTTAAGTCATGGTGAGTATCAGTGAAACGCGACTCGAGTCAATTAATCAGCGTCTCCTACTTTTATTAATGTGCCGTCTCCTCTTACAGTCACAGGCTTGAATACTTATATAGCTGTCACTCTAGTCTACGTAGTATGTATTTTCTACGCCTCACAGGTTTGTATTTTTCTTTTCAATTTATTTAAACAGATATATTAGTATTTTTATATTTATTTCATTACTTTCCTCAAAACTTGCATTTTGAAAAAAAAAAAGAAACTCTCATTTTCTTCTTTTAAGGGTCTTCATTTTCTATTAAAATGAATCTCTCATTTTCTTTTTATATAGCTTTCATATTTTTCTCCCGAGGATTTTCACTTTGTCCCCTTGAAATTCCCATTTTCTTCTCTTTAGTCTTTCATTTTTCCCCTTTTTTGCTCATTTCAGGGTGGAATGAAGGCCGTCATAATGACGGATACATTCCAAGCAGTGGTGCTCCTTGGCTCCCTCTTCCTAATTGTCGGATACGGCATAACTTGGGAAGGAGGACTCTCCCCTGTCTGGCGGACCAACGAACAATCCGGAAGAATGGAATTCTTCAATATGGACCCTAATCCAACGGTCCGTCATAGCTTCTGGAGCGTGGTTATTGGTGGAACCATCTACTGGACCACCATGTTCTGCAGCAATCAGGCTTCCGTCCAAAAATACCTCAGTGTTGAGAATATTGGTCAAGTCAGAACGTGGGTACCTTAAAGAAAATCAACTTTGAAAATCTTCAAACACATTTCTTCAGTTCTATAATCTATTTTATTTCTCAATTTTTATTACAGAGCATTGTGGGTGTCTGCTTTTGGTATGATCATCATATACACCGTGAACTTTTTGACCGGTATGGTGCTCTACGCCACTTACAAAGACTGTGATCCACTTCAGGCTGGCTACATAACCGGCCAGGACCAACTGTTGCCGCTGTACGTGATGAACTTCATGGGTAATCTCAAGGGAATGCCTGGTTTCTTTGTTGCTGGAATCTTTGCTGCTTCCTTGGGGTATGTACCTCAATTTTTCTCAATTTCTCTTCTTAATTCAAGAATAATTGTAAAAGTAACGTTTCTTTGTCTTTATTTCAAGCCTCCAAAGTGAAGAATAATGTTTTTAAAAATATTTTTAGAACTGTGGCAAGTGCTCTGAACTCACTGGCAGCAATAACTTGCGAAGATATTTTCCAGGGGTTGTTTAAGATTGAAATGCCAGCCAGGAAGGGTGCCATTTATGCTAGGTGGATTAGTATCTTCTTTGGTGCTCTTAGTTTTGCCCTGGTTTTCGTCGTGGAACGTCTTGGAAGCGTTCTTCAGGTACTATTTTCTTCACAGGACCTTTCTTCATTTATCTTTTCACTACAAATTACATTATTTCCTTTTAATAAAAATTACAGAAATTAACTATTTCTTTCTACATTTATTTCATTTGTTGTTCAAGTTAGAGTGCACAGTGATTGTAAATTAACCTTGCAGGTTGCATTATCATTCAATGGCATGGTTGGAGGCATCACTCTAGGATTATTCTCTTTGGGAATGTTCATTCCATGGGCGAACGCCAAAGGTGCAATCACAGGTGCCATCACCAGTTTAGTAATTATCCTTTGGATTGGTTTGGGGGCTCAAGTCGCTGCTTTCAATGGACAGATTCATTTGGACAGCAAACCAGTATCAATCAATGCCTGTCCTTGCATTAATACCACAGACATCACCACCAGCCACTTAGATAGCATTCATGATGAAGCTTCTTCAATATACAAGGTATTATATTAGTCTTAAGTATCCTTTAAATATTATCTTTCTTAAAATTTTAATTTGAAGAAGAAGAAATACCTTCAAAGTGTTACTTCCTTCATTCTAGATCAGTTATTTATGGTACAGTGCAATTGGATGCATCCTGACAATGTTGGTAGGAGTTGTGGTGAGCTTCTTCACAGGTTTCCAGAATCCAGCTGATCTGGATCAGGACCTCCTCAGCCCACCAATAGCTTCCCTCTTCCATATACAGACCAAACCACATGTCAATAATGTACAAGGCATCACAAACTTTGGTCTGGAGCTGGATGATGAAAAATCCCAGGTGGAGAACTCCAAAAGTTCAAAGAGTTGAAGTTCTTTTTTTGTTCTTTTTTAAAGGTTGTTTCATAGTCAGTTAGGAAAGATCTACACTGACTGCACTAGAGACTGTCTATGTGTTAGCTTTTAATGAAGAAACCTTCTGAACAGTGAGTCGATCAGTCGATCTTCGATACAATTATTTTAGAACTTTAATTGTTGTCCTTTGCAGAGTACCATTCCTTTATTCAGGTTAGAGACTTAAATTTTCTCAAGTACAACGATAGTTTGCTTCATTCTCAGCACAAAATTTGTATATGAAATCATAAACTAATGAAATCATAAGAATATTGAAGATTTTAAGTTGCATACAGAATGAAGCAGCATAAGTAAACAAACCAAAGCAATGAGATTTTTTCATGGAGGTTGCTTAAGACTCATCTTACAATAACCTTCTAGAGTGATAATGATGATCAAGAATGTTAATATTAAGTAAAAGAAGAAAAAAAAAATATATGTCAGTACAAGTTCCTTTTGGATCAACTGATTTTTCAGGAACAGTCAATGGTAGAAGGTAGATCTTGCAAATTTAAAGACTATTTAGAATGTGCGGATACTCAGAGAAGACTCCTTGCCAGGAGGCGATTCGCAATAATGTAGGATAATTTATTTATGGCACCATTTGATCATAGTACTTACTTCATTTCAAACATTCCTGGACAAAGAGCATTCTCGGGGGCGGTTTAAAATACAGGGTGCACCACCTAACTTTATCACCAGAAATATTTCTGTTGTAATTCAAATTTCGTAGAAATGTTTTCTACAAAAGTTCCATAGTTTTATGGGGGCCAGTGTATCGTAACAATAGTTTTATTTCGTTACAAACGGTTAACGAGATAAGACGGTCAACTTTCTTTCCTTAAATGGTATACTATATTCTATTTACTTGTATAAGACAGCCATTTTGAAGATCACTTCAACGACCCATAACATCACAAATAAAACTATTGTTATGATACACCAGCCCCCATAAAACTATGGAACATTTGTAGGGAACAGTTTTACGAAATTTTAATTACAACAGAAATATTTCCGGTGATAAAGTTAGGTGGTACATCCTCTATAATGCACACAATTTCTTGTCTGTACATTTTAATCATTTATGTTTACCTCACGTGTATATAGCAAAAGAGAATGTTTTCAACCTAAGCAAAAGGAAACTTTTATCTTTTTTTTTATCTAAATTATTTACTTTTTAGAGTTCGATGTGTATTTTATCTATTTATTCAGAATGTAATGAGTGCAATACCTGAGGCATTGAATATTTCCCTTTCTCCTTTAGAGTACATTCCTCTTTTCTCGCTGCTCGAGCACCATTTCCGCCCACGAGAAGCTTCTTCCGCGTAAAACGTCGATTCGTTCGCCTTGTCAACCTTTGAAATGGTTCCTCTTCCTATTCTCTTCTTTGCCTTTTTTTTGTTTTTTTTTATATCGTGGAGATGAAAAATCATACGTTTCACTTGACTGCGGATCTGTACTTTGTTGTTGTTTCTTCGTTTCGCGTATTTAAGTAAACTGTGAGAAATGCAAACACAGATTAATATTATTTTAGGTAAGCTTCTTTAAGTATATGTCTTAAGTATTTGTATATAAGAGGAGAAATATACGAATTAACTAATTTTTATTATACGTCTGTCCTATTATTTCTTCCTTTTTACCAAATCTGTCGAATTGGATATATGTATGTATGTACATACGGAAGAATATCAGAGTCGAGTATCGTTTAGTTCAACTTCCACTATTTCTTTTTAAAATTTATTTATATTTCAAAACTTCAAGTGTCTTAATTTCTTCTTTCAATTTTTCAACAGTTTCGTTCATCTCACAAGGGAATTTCGGTAAACCGAAAATTCCGATTTGCTTGAAACTTCGCAGGTTTGTAGGGGACCTCGTGAGAAGTATCGGACAATTTTTTTTTTTTTTTTTTGGCTTTCTCGGTTCTTCGGGGTGCAAAACAGCCCTTGAATAAGTGTTACCTTATTTTTCTGCATATCTTTAAAACTGTAGTAGATATGA